AATGTTAATGTACCACTTCGAAACTGTGCGCAATCACCANAATCTCGTCCAATTCTTTAATGAAATTTAAAATTATAAGCTTATCATTGTATATGATTGTATTATTTATCAAAAATAAATATCATTCCATGTTATCATTTCTGATAAACAAGCTTAATCATTCAAACTTCAAATTTTAGCATAATCTGAAATTACTCTTAATGACATTGAAAACTATATACTTTAATTATTATTTGTTAAACGAATTAATTAATTAGTCAGAGAGAAGTAGGAAAATATTGAGAAAAAAAAAGTAAACAAAAATAAAAAATAAAAACTGATAATCAAAATAGCTTACATTAAATATGATAAGCAAAATTATCAATATTTTGCATTTTTTTCAATTTAAGTGAAATTCATATTTCAATATTCTTTAAAATTTCAATTACATACATGATAAAAAAATAATTGATTAATGATATGAATTAAATAATTTAATGACAATTAAACATAGCAATTATTCATAATATTAGTCTTCATAAAATTTATTTAAGAAAAAAAAGACATTAATTGTTGTCTTTTATAGCGATGACTTCAAATCCGTTTAATTTTCAATTTAATTTTTGATTTGGTTTCTATTTTTTAATTTTTAATTTAATTTTTTCCTAATTTAATTCGTGATTTGATTAAAAAATGGCATAATTTAATTCTTCAAGATTATTTTAATATAATTTTAAATGGATTACTTTTTCAGATCAAACTAGTTTTTAATTTCCTATTAAGTAAATATGTTAAGTGTTAACAATAAATAATATTGAGCAAACTATTAAGTAAACAATTTTAAATGTAATATTAAGTAAACAGAAAATTTGGCAATATTCAAAAGTAAACTATTTGATTATCAAATTTCTCTTTACTCAATTAATTGTTTTCATTAATTATCAAATTATATTTTCATTAAATACAATTACCTTTGCATTAATATTATTCGAAGTGATAATTCCACGTTTCCAATCATGTGTACTGATAAGAGCTTGAATAAGTGTTATCTTTTCACGCATTTTATTCCGTCTTTCTGATGCTCTTATCGTTTTATATTTTCGAATAGCTATCTTTCTTGGTGTATCATCATCTGTATTATTTACCTGTAAAGAAAAAAAATAAGAAAAAGAAAATTCTGGAAAAAAAATAATTGGAATAAATAAAAGTTGAAATTTCATAATTAAATTTCAACTACCAACGCAAAATTTGTTTTTTGCAAATTTTTTTTCCCTTTCAAAATAATATTTAATAATAAATGATTTAAAGATCATTGATCGTCAAATTATAGTGATAATTATGAAATGATAGTGATAATTATACCTTAACAGAATCATTTAAATCAACGCCATCTTCCAATAATTGAGCAACCGTATCCGGTTTTTCATATAAAATTGCTGAACTAAGAGTGCTACTGGTTGGTAATAAATCGGATGCATCACTGCTAATACCTTTGATTTGTTTTAAAGCCGCATATCTGTATATTAATTAATTAAAATAAATTGAAATTGTAATAAAAATATTAAATAAAATAACCAGCAAATATAAAAATATTATGATTAAAAATTATGATTTATTCATTGCAATAATTATAATATTCAAATTTATTGAACAAATAATCATAATTAATCAATAAATTCTATACGAATGTATTCATTTATCGGAAAAGAAAAAACTTTCGAATCGTTATAATTAGAAGAGAAGTAATTAATTATTATTAGAAGTAATTAAGTTACTGTTGTAATTGTTTAATTATTACTACTTATTAAAGTTGGTGTAAAAATTAAGGTTGGTATTTTGGAAGAAAATATACCCTCTAGAAGCGCTATCAATCCGAGTATCTTGCAATGATAGGATACTTCCATCTACATGAAATTCCATTTCGTTTTGGGAAGCAATAGAGCCAAAATTGGCCAAAGAACCGGTTAAACGGAAATGAAGTACATTTACAAGATTTTCCGATATTTTAGATATCTGAAATTTTGAAATATAAAAGGAAAAGGTTTTTTTTTCTTTCTTCCATTTTGATTTTCTAATCAATTAAATTTTCGTATAATTAATTAATTTTTGTGCAACTAATTGGAGGATTTTGCTCATTTTACTTAAATTAATATTTATTTATTTATTTGCATATTTGTCGAGTAAGAAAAAGAAAGTTTTTTTTTTGTTATATAAAAAAATAGGTAAGTAGCAAAAAAAACCGTTGATTAATTAATTAATTAACTGATTAATTAATTAATTGTGCTCCAATTTATTGTTAAGTTGGTAATAAAATTTATTATCTGTTAATATTTTATGTTTGCGAAATTTTTTTACCTCTTATTTATTCAGTTAAATAATTTTGCTAAACTATTATTTATTGTTTATTTGCATATTTATCAATATTTTTTTTAGTTATTTGTTATTTGTAAATCTATTTTTCACTTTTTATTTACTTTTCCTTTCTTTTTTTCTTTTTCAAATTTATATTCCTGGTAATCTTTTAATGAATACCAACTTGTTAATATTAAATTTTTTAAATTAATCTTCATTTTATTGGTTTTTTTTTGTTTATTAAATTATTATCTTTTTCATTCATTTTTTTTCTTTATTAATCTTAATTAATTTTAATCTATTAATTAAACTTTCGGCAATATAAAATGAATAAAAAAAAAGTTACAGATTTATCGGTAGTTGTTCGTGTTGTACCAATTGTACCATCAATACCAATATGTAATAAAGCAGAATCAATGAAAACAAACATTTTGGATGATATTTGATCAGTACAACAAATTCGACCATCAATTTGAACACGTCGTGATATCATCTGCAAAATGAAGATAGTAATTTGATAAATGATAAAAGTTAAATAATAAAGTTAATGGTGTGATATCATCTGCAAAATGAAGACAGTAATTTGATAAATGATAAAAGTTAAATAATAAAGTTAAT